AAACTGTCTGTAGTTCAGTCATGCAGTCTGGCAGTGCCAGTTGAGGGAGTTTGTGTCCCAAGTTGATTGTTTGCATTTGTTCTGTTGTGCTGACAAACCATTCTGAAACAAATCAGTGAAGTGAGATGGCTGAAAAAAATAACTCTGTCAAGGGAGCTGTTCTCAACAATTGTTGTTTCACAGCAGTTGTTACAACTGGAGTACAGGAGTGTGAATGACCTTAACCTGGCAGTGCTGCTGAGGAAAAAGACACTTGGAAACAAGAGGGAGAGTGCTCAGTCTTTCTATACCTCCAGCCTCTTCATGTCTTTTTTCCCTAACTTTTCCAGTTCTTCCTTCTGTAAGATTGCTGTGGAGATACAGGAGTCAGAGGCATCAAATGAACACTGAAATTTTCTAACCTCTAATGAAGATGTTAAAAGCTAAACTAAGTCAAAACTAACAGAAATCTGATTTTGAGAAATACAATGCTATGCATAATAAGTTGTCATGGTTCACAAGTCAGGCTGATTTAGGTAGCTTACCTTTAGAGGGAGTTTGCCATTCCTGTTGATGAAGAACGACAGCTATCTGCTGCAGCAGCATATTATAAACTAATTCATTAAGTAGATGAGTAGAAGGTCTTTTGCCTGTTTTGCTTGAGAATATCTATGATTATGATCCAGACCCCCAGGTGAAAAGTCAATGAGCATTTTCAGTACTTCACAAGATCAGCTTCTTAAGAAATGGTGAAAGTGCACTTCTATTTTGAAGTGTATTTCAACATGCAGGCACATTTTAGTGACTCTCCCCACTAACTTCTGAAAGATTGTATGGGCATGTAAGTACTTACTTTGCATTTTAAGTACTTGAATAAGAATACAGCCACAACAGGTTCAGTATTGAGTAAAGGATATAAAGCTGAGGTAGGTTGGACATGCTGTATGACATGCAGTGTAGCTTAGTTGTGCAAATTAAATGAGATAAAGAAAGTAGATAAATTTTTCTGAAAAACAAGGTGTCTGTTGGATATTTTGCAATGAGAACTTCTTGGAGAGAAGTTTTTGAGATGGTGTGGAAATGTTACTTAATATTGTTGGTAACTATAAATGGTATGGTAGGAAGGTGCTATGGAGCTAACTTGAGGGAAGACTTGAAAGCAAGCTCTGGAAAATGTGGAACCTCTAATTTCAAAATTGGCAAGCAAGAAGTTAACCTCAGTTTGCATTTTCACTTAACTTCCAACAGAAATTTTATTTTAATGGTTGGTGTGACTTTTTGGTACTCCACTACAGCGGAGCGGAACAGCAAGATAGACAAGAAAGTTATTAGCATTTTAGGCATGTGGTTTTTACACTGGTCTGCACAGGCTTTCTTGTGCAGCGTTTCCAGAAGGCACTTCAGACACCTACTTTAGGTAACTTATGGCTTGCTAATTAAAGTCAACTTGTTAAAACAGTAGCTCTTCCCACTTAATCCCCATCAAAACTGTTGGGGGAATGTTTCCCTGAAGAGGAACTTGTGATCCATGTGGAAAGCAACTGTTAAGCTAGCTCCAAGTGTCAGCCATTGTGATAACTAACCCTATTTTCAGTCTATGTGTTAGATAAACCATAAACTGCCACAGCAGGAGCTACTTCATGAGCTGTTTAGTCATCACTTCAGCAGTGCTATCTCCCACAAAGAGGGCAATGTGGACAATGGAGAAGTGTCTGCTTTATTGGCTCAGACACTTACTGTGTCAAGATCCTTCAGTGTCTGAAGTAGCTATTGTGAATTTAGGCTGTTGTATAAGTCAATGTATAGACTCATTTAAGTGCTTTGTGCCAGAAAATTATGCACAACACATTTTTGTTATAATTTGAATGGAGTTATGGGACAAACTTCTGTATTTAAAAGAATGTCATGTGCTTTTGAAGACTTTTTAATATAAAACTCAAATAATTGTTGATTTTTTTTAAAAAAGGAAATCTGTAGTAGATTATGTATAATAAATGAATTGATTGTGTCTTTTTGCTTATTCTGTACAAGAACTTTCATACCTTTTTTCAAGTACTGAAGAAGAACCAACATTCCTGCCTTGTAGCTGCTTTCTATAGTATCAAATCAGATAAAAAGCTGGAAAGAAAATCTTTGAACTTCTAGAACAGTCCTGTTAAAACACTTGTTAAACTGTTTCAAGGTGCACTAGTAAATTTTCTTTAGATGTTGGCAACTTATTGACCAGTTCAATATGCTAAATCAAATTCATAGATGTAATTTGAAGTATCTAAATATGTTTTGTAATGATGAATCCTTTCCAAGAAAAGCATTATTGACTGAGACCAGGTTATAGTTTCACAATTATTTCTAGGCTGTTCTGATCAAGCCTTGTCTAGCCTTTGAACATTGCTCGCTTTGTGCTAAGTTGGATGTCTCTGTAGTCAGAAAGGTTTGGGGAACTCATGAAGGTAAAACCTTTTTCCCTCTCTTGATTGGCTGACTTCAGACACATTTATTTATGAGCCTGTTTGGTACTTGGGTGTATAAATGGTTGTACAGATACAAGGGGGAGAATAGAATGTGGTTGCAACAAATGTTAAGGGCTGGGGCCCTGCTTCAGAGGCCCTTGCAAAAAAATTAAGCTATTGTATAAGATAAGGGCCAAAATCTTGCAGTGATGTACAAAATATGGTAAGTTTAAATGATGAAATATTCCAATATAGAAAGTGTAGAAGGACTTCAAGCAACTGAGTGACTGGATAACAAAGTGGCAAATGAAATCTACTGCAAACAGAAGTAGTACACAGTGAAAGGGGAAACAATAGTCTGGGAGCAGTTAGAATGAGAACCTGCAGTTTCTAATAATTCTTTCAGATTTTTAACTTAATGCCTGATTGCAGTGTGTGTGTGAAAAAGCTACAGGTGTTGGAAAGGAGAAAATAAAAAGGCCTGGACTGCCATGCTATTACCTTGTTACTGTAAACTTACTTTGAATGCTGCATGTATCCCATTCCATGTATCAGAAGTTAGAGTAGAACTGGAAAACACCTTTCACATGAGAAGCAGCAGAATTGGGTAGGATTCCTTATCTGGGAAATATGGCTGGGTAGGTCTAAATATCATTAGTGGGGCATGAAGGGAGAAGATGGAAAATGACATTTAGTTTTCTGATGCAATGATGAAGGGTGTCAAATAAAGTGACAAGGTGCTAGCTGTGAAACAAGCCAAAAGTGCTGCTTTAACAGGTTCAACAAAACATGTAGGAAGACTTGCAGAAGAAAACTCCATTAATGACTAAAAAAACTAAAGACATTACTGCTTGAGATCTTCGGATCCACAGCCTGTAAGAGACCTAGAGAATGTTTGGGAAAAGAGTGATGTTATAAGTTTTATCTGTTCTGCTGGTCTTTCCCAGTCATCTGTCTGAATGGTTTTGTATTTGGAATAAGACAAGACTTAAACTGGTGACCCAGTTGTACATGAAGATGCCAGAGTTACTGGGCTAGGTGGAACACTCATTTGGTCCATTATGGCTGCTCTTACTGTCGTGTCATTGTTTAGACTTACACTGATTAGAAATATGCTTAAAACAACTGTCTGATTTTCTTGTTGAACCTTCTTGGTTTGAACTGTTTAGCACAAAAAAAAAATCTGATTGCTATCTAGAATAACTTTTGCATTTATGCATATTTATGATGTTTTAAGCCATTGTAATTTCAGTTTTATTTTCATATTGAATGTAAATAGTAAACTTCTTAGGGAGAAGGGAGTCCTTACTCTTTGAAACTTCAGAGTAACTTCTCTGACATGAATAGTAATTCTCATCAAACTATATAGGACGCTGATTCATTTACTGTTTTTGTTGGTGCCTTGTAATTCAATTGTTTCTGGTGCTGATAATGTAGCTAAGCTATCTTGAGTGAGGTGAAACTTTGCTCTTTCAACTGACTCTCTATTCTATTTAATTCTTTGGTCTGTCCTTGTGTTTGCATTGTAGTTATATGTGTGTTTAGTAATACATTGGTAACTATTTTATAGTCTCAATTTCTACCTATTACTTATGAAGAATATTCCTTGTGCATTATCTGGACATTTTTCTGTATTTTACTCCTTTACTTGGAGTGTAGTGTTTGATAGCTAGTCTGACAAAAGGATATTCACACTTATACAATTCCACAATATATAGTCTATACATGAAGAAAAAATGATTATTGATTTAAGTAACTTAGAATTCTGAGTTTTGTGCATGAAAAAAGGTTGCAAGATCTTTTGAGTTTCCTTCCTTATTCTTTTTCTGTCTGATTCTAATAGAGAAGAAAACTTATTTTACTCTAGAAATTTAACATGTAGAAATTCTTTATGTGCTGGAAAACTCTACAGCTGTGCTTAGTGGCAAAGTGTGATGCTGCGTTGGAGGTACCTGAGTTAGTATAGGCCTTGAGTTAGCATAGTGTTCCACTTGATTTCTTTTTTCCCCTGCCCTATGTTTTTGTTGTGTGGGATTGGTTGTGTTTTGGGTTTTTTACTTATTTATTCTGAGCAACTGACTGCTTACTAATGTGTTAATTGTCAACTAGTACTCTCCCTACCAAGGTAATGTAGTTAGAAATGGCTTAGGACCTTTTTAGCTACCTTGGAAATTTTAGAAAACTGTTAGCAACATGAGTGACTAGTGTTTTGCATAAGTAATCCTGTATTGAATGTTTTTGATGCATTCTTTAATACTCTGGTGACCTCATGATGAGTCTCAGAGTTGGAAAGTTTGTGTCTCGCTATCCACACTTACATTAGTTGATTTCATAGAAAATTTTTCTTTGTATAAATTTGTTTGTTTCAAATTTTGTAGACTTCTAGAGTAGCAGAAGCACTGCTACTAAAGATGTGTAAAGTCTGAAAACATGACCAGGTTTTAAGCTAACTCCAGAACTTCAGGTAACTAAAGTGAGTTCTAGCTGTGAATAATTAATATTAAAAATACATGGTTTCTTACTTAACCTAATTCTGGTTACCTTTTTCTCTCTTTTTTCCCCTTTCTTTAGAGACTCTACAGCGGTGGGTAATTCACTGGTCCATAAGCGGTCTCCTTTATGTCGAAGCCATAAGACCTCAGCATCTCTGACCAAGCTGTCGTTACGTGATGGACAGAAAGCCAAAAAGCCACTGTGTAAATTTGAAGAAGGTCAGGATGTCCTAGCTAGATGGTCAGATGGCTTGTTTTATCTTGGAACTATCAAAAAGGTAAACAATTTTTTTAACTTCACTGGAGTCTTACAGTATCATATGTTGGTTAAATATTACACTATTATTGTCTCAGTGTCACAAACACTCTTCTGTTTAGACCTTTTACTCATGGCTGCCACTGTATTTTTGTTTTTCAGATAAACAAACTGAAACAGAACTGCTTCATTATATTTGAAGACAGTTCCAAATCCTGGGTTCTCTGGAAGGACATACAAACAGGCAAGAACTTCAGTGAAGTAGTCATTGTTTGGTATTTTACTTGTTTAGATTACTATATCTGTTAAAATAAACAATTAAATTATATTCGTGTATACTAAAGAGCAATATAGTTTACTGTGACCCAGGATCATGAATTAGGCAAATTAGAAAAAAAAAATCTTTTCAAACAACTCTTCATCATTGCAGTTTTGTTTTGTTTTCACATAACTATGTGCAGGGAGGGGAGAACACTTCTAAAAATAATCACATTTGAGTTTATTTGAATGGGAATAGAGTATAATAATCTGTCTTGACAGAAAACTCTGGGCCCTAATTTACACCGAGTTTATGTCCTCCTATTGTTTTCAGTTGAAACAACATGACGTGGAAAGAAACCAAAGACTGCAAAATCCTAGGTTTGAATGGAGTTTTCACATTTAAAAGTAACACCATAACTGTTGCACATAAACCATTACAGATTTTGGAGTATTGATGTGATATAAAGAAATGTGCAATTATCAAGTGAGACATCTATTGTATTTTAGCTTTGATTTTTTTTAATATTCCAGCCCCCACCGCCGCCTAATATTTGGGGAGTAGCTAGTATTTTAATAATCTAAAGGTAATTAGGTGTGGATGACAATTTCAGTGACAATTTCCTCTGAAAATCAGTTACAATTTTTTCATTTAAAGGCAATGGAAGTCTGGTCTGGCTGTCACCTATTCTTGATGTTTAAACTAAACACTTTATCTGCTAATGGGAGAAGCTTTGTATTTATAATAGCAAAAAATCCACTGCTTTATTTCTGAGAAGCTTTTAAAAACCTGCTGTTCTGCTTCTGTATATAGTACTAGTTTATGATCTTCAATTCATTTATTGTAACTATCAAATTTTAGTGCGTGTGTGATAACATGTAGATTAAGTAACTTGTATTTTAATCCAGATTTTTACATTGATATGTTGTATAATTGGAGCAAGGTGTAGTCTTGTTTCCAGTTTGCAAGCTAACTTCTTTCTTACCTCTACTGTTACTGTGTGCTTTTTGTATGCTTGCAGATATGTGTAAGTAGTAATAACATATTTCCTAAGAGTGTTGGAGGTTAATACTAAAGCACTTTGGGCAGATCTATCAAAAAGATACGTACCAAATTGTGCATAAATTTACATGAAAAGAAGCACAAATTACTGTAAATACAAAGTATATCTATTAGTTGTCCAGATAAGATTTGCTTATACATAATTTTTTAGCCTGCATTTACATTCTTTAGTTATTTAATTATTCTTGCTGATACTAAGGAACCATAGACTGCATAGTAAATATGCAATATATAGTCTACAAACATCCAATAGCTTATGATTAGTGATATAAATATTTGTAACACGTTACAGTCTGTACAAAATGTCTGAATTTATTTTGTTTGGAAGTTAGACTCTAACAACATATTTCTACAGTGCATGGATCTGTAACTGGAATTACAAAAAAAGCCATATGTGTGGTAACTATTCCAACTGCAGATGTAACCTGAAAAAAATTACACTTTCATCTTTGTCTAGGAGCCACTGAAAGTGGGGAAATGGTCTGTACAATATGTCAGGAAGAGTATTCAGAAGCACCGAATGAAATAGTTATATGTGATAAATGTGGGCAAGGTAACTAGATTTTTTTTCTATTTACTGCATTTTAAAAGATGTTTTGATTTGTTTTATGAAGGAGGATATTTGCCTGGCTATGACTGACTGCTCAACTGATCTTAAATTTTACAGCCCTTAGTGGCTATTAACAGCTCAGTGAATAATGTTAATCCATGTTGAAGTGACTAACACCTTGTGTAAGTAAAGTTTATTTTTTCAACTAAAAATTTAAAAGACCATTCTGAATGTGTTTAACAGTCTTTTTTGATCAGATTTTTGGCACTTAATGATGGATAATGCCTTATAGTTGCATTAAAATGATATACAGTTAATTCTATGTAAGCTTCTTTTGCCACTTTAATAATACTTTGATAAATTTTTTTATACAGGTTATCATCAGCTGTGTCACACACCAAATATTGATTCCAGTGTGATTGATTCAGATGATAAATGGCTCTGTCGACAGTGCGTTTTTGCAACAACAACAAAGGTGTGTTTCTAGAAAAACATTTCTTAATATATCCCATATTGTATGCATACTTTGTTTTTGAAGTTGAAACAAAAAATAAAAACCATTTTTTCCAGTGGTTTATTTTTTGCTAACTTTGATTTGAATAGAAGTTTTATACGTTGGGAGTTAATATTTATTTTTAGAAATATATGACATTTGGCTTTCAATTTATTTTTAAACAAATATGCTGCTATTAAATACAAATGAAAGTATTTTACTTGATTATAGACAAACTTTTGTTGCTTTCAAATTAAAGTATTTGAAAGTTTCAGAAATACATTAGTTTACTAAAACAATAATATATTTGTTTTGGCCCAGAGGGGTGGTGCACTTAAGAAAGGACCAAATGCCAAAGCACTGCAAGTCATGAAACAAACATTACCATATAATGCAACAGACCTTGAATGGGATGCAGGTCACAAAACCAACGTCCAGCAGTGTTACTGCTATTGTGGAGGACCTGGAGAGTAAGTAAACAGATATGTAAGAACTTTTCTTCATAATGCCGCTGCGAATTTTGGCCCTGATCCTGTAGAATTTTACTTGTGAACTTGTTAGTTTCTTTTTCTATTGTGTCCAGGTATTAAACTTGATGCAAAGTGGAACTTTGAACTATATATATTTTTTAAATGTCTCATAAGAAATAAGTTATTAATAGATTTCATTCTCCCATCAGATCTTTTGGTTTGTTTTAATTTTGTCATGTGACCATCATATAACATCACAGTCCATTCTACAAGCAAGAATATTTTTTTTGCATTGTTACTCTTAATGTCTTTGAAATTGGATTTGTTTGATCTTCTTGCAGTTCTAGGCAGTGTTTTACTGCTGTTAAATCAGTTCTGTCATTAGTCACAAATATGTATCTAGAGATTAGTTTATTAAGTTTCGTTGGAGTACACAGCTGTCTGATTCCACCGTGACATCATACCTTAGATTGTAATTATTGGTGGGAGAAAGACTTTTTTCCCCTCTTATGGTATTACAGAGTCCTCTGGTTCTTTCTTACAAGAAAGGCAAGAAGAGGACTTAAGCCGGTAGAGATAAATACTTGGGTGTCTGCATGGATGAGTGAATGAATAAAATAGCATTGAAGATTTTAAGGCAAGGCAAGTGTCCCACAAAGAAGCGAAGCTTTTGAGTTTATACTCACGTGACAGACCTCTGGTTTGAGAATTTTGCAGACTTGGACAAATGTTATCTTCAAGTTTGCATGGTTCCTTTTCTCAAGGGAGAATCTGAAAAAGGAAAAAAAAAAAGTGTAAACTATGAGGTTTGTTTTAGGGATTCAAGTAGTTGAATCCTCAGAACAAATGTTTATGACTTAATATGGCTGTGCTGTGTTCTGGAAAATAGTGAAGAAGCTAATCTGGTATGTGAGAAGGAGTTTATGTGGAATTACTGAATTCTTATTATCAAGAATTAGAAGGTGGTTATCAGAGGAAATCATATTTTTATTTTTTCTTTTAATAATTCATCCTCTTACTAGACTGCCTTTTATTAGTCACTCTTTTCTAGTAATGATTCATTATGGAACTCGTTACTGAAATATCCCTACAGATGACTGTTTTATAAAGAGTGAAAATGTCTAGATCAGAAGATCCCTTACTATTTAATTTAAATGCAATGAAGGACAATTTTCAGTAACTTTTTTAATACAAGATCTTGTTTTCCTTTCTGTTGGTGAAGCTGGTATCTAAAGATGTTGCAGTGCTGCAAATGTAAGCAGTGGTTTCATGAGGCTTGCGTGCAATGTCTCCAAAAGCCAATGCTTTTTGGTGACAGGTAAGGAACTTAAGTTGTACTTTACGGTTGTCTTTATTTGAAATGTGGAGGGAATGTCACATATGAGCTTTTATTAAGGTATCTGTAATACAACAGTATTTTCCAAAAATGGGGTGACTTTTGCGTAGAAGATTACAGGAAATAAAGCATGTGTTCAGGTGCAGGAAAATGCAGTTCTCCATCTCGGTTTAATGAAGGAGGGTGAGAAGGTGGAGAGGTAACCAATGGATAGTTCCATTAAAATTGTTACTGACTCCACTTTGTGTGGAAGTGCATTATACTATAGGTGCTGGGAGACTGGAAAGTTTAAAGCAGACCACTTCAGTGGGCCTGTAAGTTAGATAAGGGCTTTCAAGTTCACATTGTGTAGGGTGACTAATCTCTTGTATGCAGCAGGTATTCTTCAAGGTAGGCTGTCTGTGCGTGTATAGTTGTAGCTCCCTGTACTAACAGTATAGGGAACTGGAGAAAGCTGGAAGGATAGACTGAGGGGAGCTCTGTACACCCTCTGCTCATGTGCGATGAGTCAAGACAAAAGGAAGTTGTAAAGAGCACTGGTCTGTGCTTTCATTTTAAGAGAAACTTGGAGCAGATGAGTGAAAACTGGAGAAGGGAATCAAGGAGTATCTCATCTATTACACTTTCTTTTAGCTGTTGATTGTGTTAAAATGTTTGTATAAAGGAGCTGAGTTAGGAACCAGACATGCATGGGTCCTTTAAATGCATGCTTACACTGGTGCACAGGTTTCTGCATTTGAGAGAACGGAGTGGGGATATTACAGAACATCTTCATTGATATAGTTGCAGGTCGAGGGACTTAAGGAGTATGAAACAGTGGTAGCAGGGTAAAATTGTATCTGGCCTGGTAGTTACCAGTACAGATTGTAGAAGTTGTTAAAGGAAGGTGGAGAACAAAGGGGCTCTCAAATATTATATGGATGGGTTTTAGCCTGCTTAACTTTCATTTTTTCATAAGTAGCATGTTAAAACATTAAGAGGGCGTGTGTGTAGAGACACCCACCACCCAGACACATGTACATATGTGTATGTATGTATTTTTAGGTTTTATACGTTCATTTGCTCAGTTTGCAGTTCTGGACCAGAATACCTCAAACGTTTACCCTTGAGATGGTAAGTATGACTTTTTTTAAAAAAAAAAAAAAGAAAGAGTTGAATATATACTCTACTCTGCTTTTCTTTTTAGTATTTTGATTCCCTTTGCAAAAAAGGAAATCCACTTGCTATCTTGAGTTGTTTCCTGAGTTCTTACGTCTCTGTATGAATAGGGACAACTTTTGCCTCAAACTTTATCCTTAAACATAGAGATATATTGCAATTGTGTGCTCTTGGGATTTATTCCTGGGATTGTTCAGTAAAGTAGCAAGTAACTACTCAGTTATATGTGTAAGGATTGAGATATCTGAACCAAGTCTTTTTTGCAGGTTTAGGATCCTGCCATTAGATAAGCCAAATGTAGTGAGTACTAGAGTACACATCTTGACACATCTAATAATAGTTTTGTTGATGTGACTTAATAGTTAGTTGTAGTTTGAGATCTTTGAACTAACCCATATTAGAAATTATATCCAATTTAGTAGATGTATGTGCTAGCAAATATATAGTGGAAATTACCTTGTTAAATGTTATTTCACTGAATTACTTGCATGAATTCAGGACTTACTTAAATATCCTATGGTTTAGTCCAGTCTTGGACTAAACCAGAGGATATTTTTAAAGTCTTGGACTTTAAAAGAACATCATGACAATGAGATGAGGCAGAGATGAAAGTAAGATTCAAAGCAGAAGGAATCACTTGAGTAAGAGAAATGACAGGAGACTTTGTAATGTTCCCTGGATTGAGGGTTTTAAGTGGTGCTTTGTATTCCTCTAACTATATTGTACTAATATCTCTTCTACTAAATTATTTCAAGGAAAAGTAATTGGAAGAAAAGGCCTTTTTTCCTGTTTTTATTAAAATATTTCTGAATTCTAGGGTAGATATAGCACATCTATGCCTTTACAACCTAAGTGTTATTCATAAGAAGAAATACTTTGATTCGGAACTTGAACTCATGGCCTACATTAATGAAAACTGGGATAGGTTGCATCCTGGTGAGGTAAGTAATTGGAGTACTCTTTCTTGTTTTTCCTCAGAGTGCATACATATGTCCTGAAAGTTAGTGACCTATGAACTTTTTTATTTTGGATGTTAAATCTTTATTACCTTAAAATCTGGTAATTCCAAATAATGAGGAGACCGTCTTTAATTTCCTTGCAGAAATAGAATGCTTTTTAAGTGGCGTATGCTTTTCTGAGCTGTAAAATTTCTCAAGTGGTCCTTTTTCCAGTCTGATTCTGCTTCTTGTCAAGGCACTTTGATTTTAGTTTACTACTACACTAGTAATTTTTCCAGCTATTTGATTTACTGGGTAGTTAGCATTAAATGAAATCCATTTTTCTCAAGCAGACTGACCTCATATCTAAGAGGAGCAGCATAGATATTTGTTTCTGCATGTAAGGTTGGAAGCAAAATTTATGCTTGAATTCAAATTGGCACACTGCTAGTAGAGCACACTCTTTTTTCCATGCATGAAAATTGTTTAGGGTTTTGAAGTTTTTTTAATACAGATGGTGTATGACTGGTTTGACTTTATCATGAGTACATCCTACTTTTATACTTTTTTGGTAAATTTGTACATTTGTAATCCACTTCTAGCAGACACAATTTGGGAATCAAATGTATGTTCTTGGTTTTAAATGAGTAACTACATTTCATAAATAATGGAAAATAGTTTGATACGTATGTTTAGACTATGAGTGTTAATAATTTGTTAGACAAGCAAGCACTCAAGCATTTAAGAAAAAAAGACAGTCTCATTATGAATAGATATCTAGTTTGCTTTGGGTTTTATGGTATCTCTTAGCTAAAAGTCATATCAAGTCAATAATTCTGTTATGTCAAGTCCTAAGCTTTAAGGAAAAAAAAAGGCTGCACAAAATGTGGTAATTCTCACACCATTTTTTCAATAGAATGAAATGTTCTGGCTGTCTTACTGTGCAGTTTAACAAATGCGTAAGCCGTGTTTAATTTTGACTTTTGTTTCTCTTAGTATTAAGGGAAATGTGGAAGAAATTAATGATTATTTATTTCATATAATATATTCTTTAGATTTAATGTAATTTCATGTCAGAATGCCTGGTCAGAGCAGCTGTGGTGTGGTTGAGGAGAGTGGATCTATCTAGCTGCCATTGACTTGGAGCACACATGCCATTTTGAAGAAGTTGAAAGGCTACAGTCCTCATTGTGCTGCTCTTTCCACTTTCAATTCATCCATACTCAGTCTATGTGAAAACCACATAACTAAGGGGGAGAAAGAAGAGGGGAGATCTAAAATAAGGAAACTCACCTCTTTAAGTGGTACTTTCAATTCCTTAATCAATATTTCTGCATCTTCAGGAAACTACTACTTTTGAGTCTGAAGACTACATTTTTGAAGGGGTAGATTTTGAATAAATGCGTAAAAGCTGAGTTGAGGAAATCATCAAGACTTTATTCTGAAAAGATCCTAAATGTCTCTCACTAAGTTGGGAAAAATTGTGTCTTTGAAAATTTGAGGCAAATGTATTTTACTACTTTAGTTAATCCAGTTTCTTTATTAAACAGACATTAGTCACAGAAAGAGTGACATCTACAGTATAATGGTTTTAGGGGTTTTGTAATATTCTTAGCTTGGCCCTGTTAGAACTGACACTTTGATTTCTTTCTCTAGCTGCTTATAATTGAATAAGAGGAAAAGGTTTTGTGGGTTTTTTTTGGTTTTTTTAGCCGTAGGTAAGATAGGAGGTCTGATAATTCCACTTAAGCCAGTAATTTTTAACATGTTGTTATTTAGGATGCAATAAATATATGGCAGTTTTCTCTAGTCAAGTGCTGCAGAGTTGCAAGAGCTGTGGATAGCAATGGATTGTACTGAATGCATATGATGAAGATGTGTAAAAACAGTTGTTACTTTCTTTGGCTAAAATCAGTTGAATACCTCCCTTAACTTTTAATCCTTTAAGCATTTGTATCTGTCCTGTTTGGTCAGAAGTGCATATTCTTTAGAAAGTATTTGAAGGTGGTTTGGTTTTGGTTTTCTTAGCTGCAAATATTGTACAGTCTGCTCTGTAGTAATCGTACTATTAGAGAGTTGACAAACAATTTAAGCTTCACTAATTAAAGATAAATTTACTGTAGAGCCAATAGGATATAAGGTCTGGAACATTTTGGCATGGCAACTAGAAATATAGTAGCTTCATTGGAATTAAATAGCTGTCTAAATATAAAAATAAGTCATCTTATTTTAAATTCTATTACAAAAATATTGTGTCTGCTTCTTTATAGTTGCCACCATGCTTATTCTGCTTTATGTCTCTAATTCATAAGTATGCAGTTTTTCAGAGAGAAGATATCATGTTTTGATAGCTTGATAAGGACTAGCTACTTCAGGCTTTGGTGCAAGAAGGGTTGTAGCAAAAGGGCTGTGAAAATGGATTTACTTTTTTAAACTCTGATAGCTTTTCTGGGCCTCTTCCTTTTTTTGTATTATGTTGAGTAATGTTGGCAAAAATGGGAATTAGGTCCTATGGCAGGATTTTGGTTAAAATGATCATGAATAAAAAAACTAAGTTCTCGTGTCAATATAGTTATCTTCTGCTTGCAATCCCAATTAACTTGGGAGTACATAATGCCACAGAACTCTTGTTAAAATCTTGGGAGGGCAAGCTAGTATTATGTTCTTTGACTATACAAAAATTCTTTGAGAGATTTTTCTTGCACTTCTTACAAGTAAAACTCAAATTCTTTTGGCCTAGGCTTGATCCTGGCATGAATTCTGTGGAATCACAGAATATATGGGATGATGATTAATATCCTTTGGGGTTAGGTAGCTTCCACAGCTAATACTTCATAAATGTACTTCACATCCAAATCTGTAGTTACAGTAACTCAAAGTAACTGGAATCTTTCTATTACTAAAGAATTCGACAGGTTAAATGATTTCTTAATACTTCACAGCTGGCAGATACACCAAAATCTGAAAGATATGAGCATGTACTGGAGGCATTAAATGATTACAAGACCATGTAAGTTATTGGTACTTTTTGTTTTAAATGTTGTTTCCCTATTTAATCTGATGTAGATTACAGTCTTCAGTCTCCTTTGCTCAGTCTATCTGATAATCACTTTGGCTGCAGATAACATTTAAATATTGTTTCTATTTCAAACTATAACATTACATAACTATTTCAGTGGAACCCAGATTATGAGAAAAAAATTTTTTTCACTTCCATTCTCTTTCCACTTCACATTCTGTATATCAGAGAGGATTGCATTAGGGGAAAGAGGGGAATAAAATAGCATTAGAATGAATATTCTAATTTGCATAGTTTTGTTTTGCATGTACACTGTTATGTTAAAAGTTGCTTTTCTTTGAGTGAGGATTTAACAGTTAATTTAAAATCATCTAGGTTTATGTCTGGAAAAGAAATAAAGAAAAAGAAGCATTTGTTTGGCTTGAGAATTCGTGTTCCTCCTGTGCCACCAAATGCTGCTTTAAAGGCTGAGAAAGAACCAGAAGGAACTTCTCATGAGTTCAAAATTAAAGGCAGAAAATCATCTAAACCAATCCCTGATGTGAGGTAAAATAATTCAGTCATTCTAGCAACGTTGTGGTAGTAAATCTGGGCTACTTTGGATGTATCTTTGGTGCCTACAAAAAAGGACTTTTTGTGTAATTTATTTCTTTAAAATAACTGTAGTGGTGGACTAGTTGTGAGAACAAGGTCTTTGAACAAATTTAATTGTTTTTCTATTAGAATCTTTCTTAAAACAAACAAACAACCCAAACCCAACATGAAATTTACCAGTAAGGACAATAGAAAATATCCCAACTTTGCTGCTATTTGGGAAACAAAATCCTTCTTGCCTCTCTGGAGCTCTTACTCAGTAACCTAACTAGAATTCTAAATAGGAAGTATGATTTGAAGTTGTAACTTGTAAACATGCCATCTTTTTTTACCAAGTATGATTGTATGAATAAATAACACTTAACACTTGTTCATTCCTCTTGAATGTAAAGGAATCAGTAGTCTTTCTAGAAAGATCTTATATCTGTTTATGTTATTCTGGAGGCAAAAATAGGTAGCTTTGTACCTGACAACTTTGATTTACCAGAATAGCTTCATTTAGCACAATGTTTTAGTAATAGCCATCTAATCGCGTATTCATTGCCAAAGGAAAACATGTATTTCGTGAAAACTATCTTCAATAATACAGAACAAAATACAAATTTTCTTCTAGGGATTTAAGTAATGGTATAGAAAGAAAGGGGAAAAAAAAATCAGTAGGTCGTCCACCCGGTCCCTATACAAGAAAAATGATTCACAAAACTCCAGAGTCATCTCCTCTGGTAAGGTTTTGCTATTATTTTTTTTCCCCTTCTTCCCTCTAACTGGATTATTATTTTTGAAGAAAAACATAACTAGTTAATTTGAATCATGATATTCCCCCATTCACTGTCAAAATTGATACAGCAATTAACTCTTTTTTTTTTTTTTCCTTTGTTGTTTTCTTAGGATAACGAACCGGTTCCAGTGATAGAGAACCCAGCCTTGGAATTACCCTGCACTGTTGGGTAAATTTAAAAAAAGGAATTAAAAAAAAAAATCCTGTAAAACATTATAATATTATGTCATTTATGTGTTTGCTTCTGAAATGTCAGCTGAGTTTTTAATATAAGATTATTTTCATTACATGGCAACCCTGTTATCTTGCATATCAGGAAATCTGATGGAACTGCACATTCATCCAATACCTCAGATGTGGAATCCACAGGTGCTGCCAGTATGAAAGAAACTACCTCATCTAGCATTTCCAGACATTATAGGTAATTATTCAATTACTCTATCTGCTATAAAGATTAAGATTTGCAATATATTAATTTTAATAAAGTTTTCTGAGAGGGAGGGCAGGAAACAATTCATTCAGCAAAACTTCACCCTTAATAAACAGAAGTTGCAGGGATCCTACAAGAGATATCTTGCCATGTAGTGAGTATGACATGTAGTGTTCTATGCCTGCTTTCTTGGTTTCTTAAAACCTGAGTTTCTGTTGTACTTCCAGTCAGTTCTGAACCTTTTGGCTAACTTCCATGAAATCTGATCTAGGTAGTTCCAAAGAAATTACAGTCTAACAAGATTCATGAAGATAGATGCTTGGATGAGAGAGACCCAAACCAGCAACCCACACTTAAAAAGGCACACAATTTTCTAATCTGTGGTGTAGTCATTGCCAGTGCTATTTTGTGGGTGGTGTGTTTGGTTTTGTGTTTTGTTTGGGGTTTTTTTTTTTTCAGTTGAAGTTTTGGCAAAACAAAGGTAGAAGATAAGGTAGGATGTTGACTTATGAGGCAGCCATAGTAGATGTGAAATGGAGGTAAGGGTGTTGCAGAACTGGTGGGAGAATAAATAGAGAAGAATTGAGGATATTGCAAAGGAGTATAACACTGAGGATGTGGTAATTCACTGGGATTTGGAGTAATGAGCAACTGAGACTCAGAGCTATAAATTGTATGGGGAAATCTAAAGAAATATGACAAAAGAAGTATTAGTTCTGCTTACAATGCACAGGGTGAGTTTTTTCTGCTCACTAACTATTCTTTATTTAAAATATGTAGTTAAATTACATTTTCTGAAAAGAATTAAACTCCATAAACACATCCTGAGCTTAGTCTTCTAATAAAGGCCACAAAAGAGCTGATGTGTACCCTGAATTAATTTTAGCAGCTTTTGTTTTTGTAGGTTTGTGTATTCATGTTAAAGAATAGTAAGTATGCTGTAATTTTCTACAGTCAATAGAGCATGAAAATTTTTGGCACAGTCTTCATAAATAAATAATTAACTACAATCAGCTTTTCTACAAATAAATTGTTACTTGAACTTTTTCCTCTCAATTTCAGTAAACATAAATTTCTCTTTTATTGAGGTACATGGATCCTCAATCTACTTTTGTCTCCTCATTCAGGTTCATGCTATCAAGTGCTTTCATGAATCATTTTTGTGTGCATTACTGCTACAAATAGTCTGTCTTCAAAAATTCATATTTAACTTACAGGCTTCTGAAGTTGTTACCTAAGGATCTAAGTAATTTCAGCCCTTTATTCCATTCTTTTTTAATTGTTAAAAAGATGTGCTTTTTTTCCTCAGTTATGTTATGCAGGAGTCTTGAACATCAAAGTTTACATATTTAATTTAGGACTTTATCAAACATGTTTTAGTATGTGCAAATTATAGATGTAGGTTTTTACATAAGGATTTATATCTTAGACACTTGTAATATTTGAATGATGGTTTATTCTCCAGTAATGTCAGAAGCAGCTTCTTTTTTTATTACCAGATATAAATGTGTGTGATTTAGATGTACTTTTTTTTTGGTCACATATAATAAATCTTCAGAAATTTATGTGTACTATAGGTGGTAGTGATGTAGAATAGATTTTGCAATATCTTCTTTCATATTTCAGAGTTGTAATTGATTGAGATAAATTCAGCTTGGAAAAAATAACTGCATAAATATGTTTTTTAATTACAGTCTTCGCTAACATCACGTCTCAAACTCTTTCATAGTATAGCTTTTGTAGTTGAGGCTTACCTGTGTGATAAAGCTGTATTTTTAATTTGCAAGTTTAAGCACATTTGGTGCAGATGTCTCTGAAGACAGTTTTTTTTAATCTGCTTAAGAATGGGATTAAGTTGTGTCAAAATAGTACTCTTAACATATCTAGGCATAAGTTAATATCATTTAGGTAACCCTAACATTTAGTTAAATTGGTACAATTTTCCTTATGTAAGTACTCTTTATTTTGCAAGTGCCATATTTATACTCATCTGTCTATATGCAACAAGTATTTCTATCAGTGAAAAATAGAACAAAGAAGTTATTATGAGTTGCATGGCAATAACTGATGATAAAGCATACATTTTGAATAAGTTCCTTGGAGTTAATGCTGTTTGTGGGTGTTGTGGTTGTGTTTTTTTTAATAGTTTATCTGACTCGAGAAAAAGGACTCGTACAGGAAGAACTTGGCCTGCTGCAATACCACATTTGAGAAGAAGAGGTCGCTTTCCACGAAAAGCACTTCAGACTCAAAATTCAGAAATTGTAAAAGATGATGAGAGCAAGGAAGATTACCAGTATGATGAACTCAATACAGAGATACTTAACAACTTAGCAGATCAGGAGTTACAGCTCAATCATCTAAAGAACTCAATTACTAGTTATTTTGGTGCAGCAGGTAGAATAGCTTGTGGGGAAAAATACCGTGTTTTGGCTCGTCGGGTGACACTTGATGGAAAGGTGCAGTATCTTGTGGAGTGGGAAGGAGCAACTGCATCCTGACTGTAGGACTGAACATTATGTTCACTGCACTGTCATCTGTAAGTACAGTTCATAATGCAGAGCCACAAGAGAAATGTGTCTTTAAATGTCTTTCTAAAAACAAAACAAAACCAGTTTAGCCTTAACATGTAATTGTTATCATTACAGCTCTTGTGATAAAGACTTATCTTTTTAAAATCTGATCTGAAACTTAAATTTTTTAATCTGAACATTGTTAGATTGTTTTAGGTTGGGATATTTTGGGTTACAATTGCTTAAAAATGTGCATGGTGTTTTTTAAAAAAAAGACATTTTCTAGAGAACATTCCATGGATACAGTTATTGTGATTTAGAGAAAATATTATGTAGATAGCACAAATCTTTGAAAAATTTTGGTTTGTTTTCTTACCCAAATGTTTGCAGAAATGTATTTCTATTTCAATACTTTCTAGATTTCATAAGTGCAGTGTATATAATGCCTACTGAAGACTGTAAAATACTGAAGTTTTCTTTGAAACAAAGTGTAAAAAAAAAAAAAGAAAAATATATTGAGCCTGTAAATTGCTCTGTGACCAGACTTCATTGTCTTCTTAATATATTCTTTGTGTGTGTGCGTGTGCGCGTGTGTGTATATACATATGTATATATGCACACACATACTTGTGCGTGTATATATATGTGTGATTGTGACCTATGCAATACAAATTATGGGATTGGGCAGCTTCTGAGAATACATCCCATAATTCTTTTTTCAGGAATAGTTGCCAGTATTTACACAGCAGCATTTCTTCTCAGGCTTATTGGGTGCTGTTGCTTTCTATGTACTAAGGAAAAGTGTCAAAGCAGTGCAGTGTGTTCTGGCAATGGGTGCAGTCATTGATGTTCATATGCTCTAGGTAATATATTCCATTATTTTCCATGTGAATTAGCTGGTAAAAAAAATAATGCAGGATCTGAACATTTTGAAATTAACTCTACTAGAAATAACAATTTGAAAGTTATTGTGGCACACTGATTGTAAATTTTGTGTCCCAGTTATAAAATAAGTTCACAGGAGTCACACACAAGATTCCTAAATATCTGTAGAAACAGTCATATTTCGATAAACATAGTATAAATAAAGTGTATTATTGCACAGGGTCAACAGTTTGTTGCCATTTGAAGTAACATTACTGATTTTATTACAACATTACCTCTTTTGTTTTTATAAAATATACCAAGTTTTAAATTGATAAGTTTGTTTACTTGTTGTTTTTTTTTAAAAATAGTCTTTTGCCAGTATTAGATGTCTTTTCTTTGTCTGCTACTTTTGAGGGATTTTTAGCCAAAGAGTAAACAGAAGAATATTTTTAGTTTCGGTGGTTATTCACTGTACTGCATAAGGTTAGTTTTCTTAAATGCTTGCAATTTACCACCAAAATAAAATTATGTAACACTTACAAATGACAGAGTGGTTTAAAATGTACTGCCTGCGTTAGTACTTATTTATTCCATTGCATGATTATTTGAGTTTTTCTGCTCATCTTGAACATCGTGAAAAGGTGATTTTTGCTTTTTTTTTTCTGTCACCTTATAGCCAAAGGAAGCAGAAAAAGCTTTTTATCCTGTGCTTGGTTTATGGCTGGCCAGGTAATACTAGCTTTATAAAAATGCTAATTAAAAACTGCCACTTCTGTTTACCTTCACTAAAATATGTGGATTTTTCTTCACACCCTCAGCTATTAATTTAATGTTGCCTTGCTTATAGCTGCAATATTTTGATAACACAGCAACTTCATGTTAATTTTTGAATGTTTATATCTTGGGATAATGCAAAATGTAAAGCCTTTGTAACCTTACTCACACCATCTGTATCTGTCTTTATTGTTTCACTTTATCCAAGTCCTTTAATTCTAACTGAACACCAGCAGTATTTTTCATAAAGTTTCATTTAAAGATAAATATTGGAATGTACTTGGACTTCGGGGGGGGAGAAAATATTTGTCAAACTTAAGCTGTCCATAGACTTAACTATTGTGAATGTCATTGTTTCATTTTATTATGGTGGTTGACTTGACTCTGATGTTCAGTTTGTATTTTTGGAATTGCTTTTTTTTCTTAGAATTAAAAGACCAACATTAAATGTGTGTATTTTTTGAGAGAGAAGAATGAGTTTTGATTCTGTATTCTTGTGAACTACACAGTCGGTGGCATCCTCCCATCCATTGTTTCTCTATCTCTAGCTTTCCTCTTACTGTCCTGGAGACACTTGCCCTGCACATAGACACTAACTAGTGTTCTAGCTATGCTTGAGGGATGCTTTGTTACAAGATGTCATGTACTGGAAAATGCTGCAATAGTGCTGCTGAAGATACAGCTAGAGTAGTAATTAAAGCACACCTACAAATGCCTTTCTCTCATTTTATGTGAATGTCATTGTATGTAGTAATGGAGTGTCTAAAGGAAAAATACAAATGTTGCTGTACCTAATGATTTCATTTTGGTATGACTTGATCATTATATGTATGCATGTGTGTAAATATATGTAATTCAACTTTGTTGTGGTCACTGATTTAGAACCATTTCTATGTGTATCAGATTTAATATTTTTCCATTATATTATTTGTGTTACAGTAGTATTTAGGTAGGTGAAGCCTCTCTTGAGGCCATCCTAAAAATGTAAGTGTCACATGAACAAGACAGGAAAGAAAGAATGGCACATACTGGTCAGAATTGTAAAATAATTATCATAGCAAACTGCTTGTCAAATCATTGTTCTCAACAAAAACTTCAAGAGAATTTTGAATAAAACTCATGCTTTTCTGTGCGTAATAGACACTTTGAGTGAGATTTCAAAGGAATTTTGAAAAAATCTCTTGGGAGTGATAGGTGAAATGAAGGTCAATATTTTGACTTAACATGAAGACAGAAATAAACCAAAAAAGGCTTTGAAGGTGAAGACAGGTGGTTTGTTGTCTAGGGAGTGGGGGAAAGATAAATGGATAAACAGGAAAATGGTCATGTCTTTGGAACAGCCTACTAAAGTGATCTTTAGTGTTATATTTTAAAAGGAAACTGGTGAAATGAAATTGGAACATGCTGAGGCTGGAGATGGAGCAGTAGTCAGAACACAGTGCTAAGGATGAACTGGACAGGAGCATCAGTTCTGTGCACATAGGGAAGAGGATGAATCTTGCAAATGCTGTGCAGGTAACATTTTAAAATTGTGTCACTTCCCTACTTGCCTCACATCTGCCTGAATGAAAACTAACACTGCAGTTAGGGGTATGATGGCAGAAAACAGTATTTTCTAGAAATGGAGAAAAGTATTTAGGATGGTGAGTTGTGTGTGATGCTGAACTTAAGTTGATGGCTAAACACCCATGTGGAGGTGTCAGATCTATCCTAGTTTGGTCAGAAAAACAGTAATACATTAGGAAAGAAATCAGAGTTGTCAACCTAAAGTTTGTAGAAAAGTTGATTTCTTTTTATTTCTCTTTTTTTGTAAATTGTATCATCTGTAGATGAGTTATAAAGAAGAGAAAGGCAGTGGAAAAGACTTTGGAGTCTCTGAAGAAAGTTGAAAGGGGAATGACCATCTTCTAGAAAAGATAGTGCAGTACAATAGGAAAGCAAAAGATGAGTACAAGTAGGAGCTGTGCACAGTCTAAGCATGAGCTTGGAATTTGCTTTTGCTAGTCTTCAATCATTCAGCAACAATGAAACAAGATTTTTATATTGTCATGATGTTTTTATCTGTTTGCATTTCTGAGTCCCGTAATGTTCCTCTCGGCTAACTCATCTCTGCTGTTTTTTAAATCAGACTTTTTCATATTCCAGCATTGAGATTCATATACCATAACATCAACAGTTCTTCAGATTTTCATTGATACCAAAATATATTGCCTTGCAGATACTAGCTTTTAAAATACAGCTGTAGCTCATACAGTTCTCTTCATATCATCTTCTAATCTGTTCATTGATATTAATTCACAAGTGTATTTTTTTCACATGTTCTAATTTATGTTTCCAGCTTCTGAATTTGACAATATTCTGTTCCCATTATTAGTTAGTTTGTGTTTGGCATTGACTGACTTCCATGTGATTTTGGTTTCCTAGTCTTCTGTTTACTTAATGTCCCATGTGGTAGCATTAACTTGCAATCTTGACGTCTGCAGTCTTACTCCAATAAGCTCATTTATTTCAAAACCTGCTTTATAGCAAGTAGGTAATTAATAGTTCTGTCTTACTCTAAATAAAGCTTATTCTTCTGTAAGCACCATTTCCAAGTACTTCATTTGTGCTCTGCCATTCCCTAACGAATACTTACAAAACTGTTGCTATTGCATTCTCGTGTTGTCAACCAATGTGATAGTTTATTGCTTTGCTATGTACGTGTTTCATTTATGAACATTACTAAGATTGCGCATTTTGCTTTTCACTTGCTTGCTCTAACTTGGCATTCATAACTTCACAAATTGGTTGCATGATAGTGTGGTTGCATGAGGTTGGAAAGCAGGAAGATAGTAAAATTCTAGAGATTGTCAACAATGGTTGGAAATTCAGAGAAAGGGAGACAATGAGCAATTGGAAAGATTTTCAGGCTGTTAAAATATAGTGGTAGCAGAAGGAAAAGGTGAGCCTGAAAAGGGGAAGAATATAAGATAGAACTAAGAATTTATCAAGATAACAATGCAGAGTTCCTTGGTTAGGGAAAATGATGCTTTTTGCACAAAATCCACACTTGGAATTGTTCTCTCTGACAAACTGACTAGGGAGGCTAGCTGGCTTGTGGCAGAAAAGTATGTATAAACGCATGTAATATGTATACTTATGTGCAGAAGTACACAAGTCTGAGAAATACAATGAGAAACTCTTGAATGGATTTAATTACAATGGGAATTTATTATTTTTAAAGAAGTCTTTCAGTAGGCTGTGAAATGCTTATTAAAAAGACAGCCTTTAATGTACTGTTAAAAAAAAAAAAGGTTTTTTTTTTTTAACAAATTGGTAACTTCAATCCTTGCTTCCTTTCCTCCCATGCTTTTTCTTCTCTGCTTGTGGTGATGAGCCCAGGTATCATAGTTTCTCACCTGCCCAGCAGTCATTCAGAGGTAAGTGCTGAAGCTTTAGAATGGGAACTCCTATTTGTTGGCCACTTGGTGCCTGAGCCTGCTTCCTTTTTCCCAGTCCTATGGTGTCATCCTGTGGGAGAGAAGTGACTGGAATGAATGATTTCAGGAAAGGCAATGTAAGTGAATGATGGCTGAAGCACACTCAGGGCTTTGGAGGAGGAGTGGGATGGGCTCTGGTTCTG